ACCCGCCAGCCTGCAGTTCCTTGTGGGCTTCGAGTAAACAGTGGAGTCGCGGGAGAGGAACGCGTGTGGCCGAATAACTGGGATTCCTTCGGGTGTCTCGGGAGGTCGGGAGGGGAGGGGAGGGGGCGGAGGGCGAAGGGAGGGGAGGGGGGGGGGGGAGGGGAGGGGGGGAAGGGGGAGGGGGAGGTCGGGGGGGGGGAGGGCGAAGGGGAGAGGGGAGGGGGAGGGGGGAAGGCGAGGGCGAAGGGGAGGGGGGTAGGGGGCCTGCCAGTGAGGGATGCAGGGCTTCTCTTGTTCCTACTTTTATTATGATTTTGATTATTATTGTTATTATTACTGATATTATTATTATCATCATCATCATTATTATTATTGTTCTTGTTTATGATTAGTATTATTTCATTATTATTGTCATCATCATCATTATTACTATTATTATTATTATTATTATTATTATTATTATTATTGTTATTGTTATTATTATTATTATTATTATTATTATTATTATTATTATTATTGTTGTTATTATTATTATGGTTATCATTATTATTGTAGTTGTTACTTTTTTATTTTTATCATTAATAACATTATTATTTGCAATATTTTGTTATCATTATCATTGTTATCATTGTTACCAGTATTATTATTGTTATTATTATTATTATCATCATCATCATCATCATCATATCATCATCATTATTATCGTTATTGTTATATTATTAGTGTCATTATTGTTAATATTGTTTCTGTTACATTTTATCATTATCATTGTCAGTTTGTATTGTTCATATATATCTATTGTTCATTTGATCAGTAATTTGATCAGTAAACTAAATAATATCACAAGAACACAAGACAAAAAAAATATGAAATAAAACATATGCGTTATGAAGAAATTAGGTTCTTATGGAAAGGAAAACACCATTTTTATTGTCCTTTTCTTGACCGCAGAGCAAGGAAAGGTAAAAAGAATGAGAGACTCGCGAAAAAGTCTACGGGTTTACAACGCAGATTTCGTTCGAAAAAGTCTGCGGATGTCACACCACACGAATAGGTGTGTGTATGTATATGTTTATATTATATATATATATATATATATATATATATATATATATATATATATATATATATATATATATATATATATGTATACATGTATGTATGTATATATATGTGTGTGTACTTATATAAACACACATACATATGAATATATATGTATATATATATATATATATATATATATGGTGTGTGTGTGTCCGTGTGTGTGTGTGTGTGTGTGTGTGTATGTGTGTGTGTGTGCATATGCGCGCGTGCGTGTGTCCGTATTAATTGTTACATATTTTCTGCAAGAGTCCCATGAAATCACGAGGAATCCTCTGCTTCTCTGGCCCTCTGTTCTCTCCCACACTTTTCTCTTCCAACACATCGCTGGCCCGCAATTTTAGCCAAAGAGAGTGAAGCAAACTCTCCAATTTTTCCTTCAGCAAAAGAAATAAAACGTGCAGTTCGACTGGTTGACAGAAGCAGAACATTTTTCCTTCAGCAAAAGAAATAAAAAATAAAAAAAAATGTATGACCGTGTTGATGTCGAAATAGCAAACCTGTTCGAACTTTTTTTTTTAACGGAGCGACATTTTAGAGTCTTAATTTTCTCATACAAGCAAAAGAAATGGTTAGCGCACAAAACTACATACTGCGTATAAGAACCCAGGCATAACTACTGTCATCTCAAGACACTTTAAGACACATATTCGTATTCGTTATGGAATTCCACCTGTCAAAGATATAATTTTTCGTCACCATAATGCAATTCCATCAGCGATAAATTATTGGCATGGGGAATTAGAGCAATTAATAGTCTTGCTCAAAATCAGATTACATAGATTACATTATATAAGCAACGTAAATAAAAATATGATACAGTGATTTGAGAACTAAAGCTCTTCGTTACCTTCTTTGCCCTGTAAATTGTCCATAGCAAATGGTTACTTGTTGATATTCTGATAGTGGAAATTTAAAAGTTGTTCGTTAGCACTCTTCGCTTACCGTGTCCGTCGAAGCTCCTGTTCGCTATGAAATCTTATTATAATCAAGGTACATTATCCTTATAACGCTCTTTTTACCTTCCTTTCAACATGACTACCTCGTGGACGATACAAAACTCTTCATAATAATATTCATAATGATTAATATAAGCAAAAAAGAAAAACCTAAAGCTATTCATTAGGGCCTATTCGCTAAAAGGTGTTTTTTGACGTTTCTCTTCGCTATCGAGTCGCAACGTAAACAAACCTTCGGCGAGACACACGAAAGCCCTCCCAGTGGCCAATCCTCCAAGTTCTGCTCAAAATGGGCCTAGAAACTTGGGAAAAGCTGTTCAGAATGACGAATTCTCTGAGGAGACTCATGTATCGTGGGGACGTGGGCGGGTCGCTGTCTGCATTGCCTGTATTTCGCCGTTACAGTACTTATATGAGGAGAGATGTGGGAGTGGCTGTCG